TCATTCGTCTAGGCTGACCTGGCAATACGAGCAAGTTGCGGAAACGAGGTTAAACCCTTTCTATAGAGTAAATAGGAAATCGCAGCCAAACTAAAGACCACACCCTCTTGGACTCTGTCATATTTACGGGTAACTGTCCGAATGGTTTTCACCTCCCAACATAAAGTCGCATCAAAACAGCCAACCAGAGGGTGGATACTGGTGTCGAGGTGAGAACTCAGTCGTTGAAGGCCGGAGATAGAGGATGTTTGGAACAGATGGACTCACCAACTTGAATAGCCCAAACCCAACGTTTTGCGTTGACCAAATAATAGGCCTCGAGCACACATTGGCCCTGACAGACGGTCAGATGGCCGAAGTTGGCCAAGCGGACAGTCAGCGGAGCCGCGGGATGGTCGTGCTGCACGGCCCAAGACGCCGTCTCCCCGTCTCGGCTGGATGCAGGCTGAGGAATCTTCAAGTAGGAACAGAAAGACAAATGTAAATTATCAACCAGTAAAAGTAAGTTGCGTAGAGACTTCAGGACAAAAAGAATTCCGAAGTACCAACAGCCTCATCACAAAGCGAAGTCGTTTTTGGATTACATATGCCCTGTTCTTATCGGTCAGCATCTCTTCATCTTATTCTGCAAACTGATAAATTTCGAAAAGCCCATAAAGATTAAAGTTGCTACCAGTTTGGTTTGCCAGATATGCTCACATTGTCAGAATGCTAGACTTGACGTCGTGCCCGCCGTGTGTGCTGCGATCTGGCTAGGCTCATGTGGCTTGGGAGTCTTTCAGCCCACGACCATTTGCAACTAATTATATCCATGCATTCAATCATGCATTATACAGGCCTGGAGAATTCGACCTCGCCAGCAGCAGTCTCTTGTCTCTAGAGCAACTGGAACAAATAGTGTACAGACTCGTGTATCTCTCCTCCATTTCTAGATCACATACTCGACTAGAGGCATCTATCATGGGGCCTGATGACAAATATCCTCCGTTTGGAGCCGAGTGAAAGTATCTATGTAATGAAGAAGTTCTGATCTCATTTTATTCGAAGAAGAACTGGGCTTCGAAAAATCCCTTATTACATTTCTGTTAATATACCCTACATTT